ATTTAACTTTTAAAATGAAATCATGCAAAAGTTATTGGCATTCAAGTAGTGTTAATCAAGGTATTTTAACACAAAATTTTAAAAAAGAAGAAAGATTAACCTGGTACTGTAGATAATATGCTATAAACCTGGCATCAGTAGAAGGTACATTTTCCATACCACAAGCTGATAATAAATTATGGATAGTCATAAGTTCCCCTCGTAAATCTTCACCAGCAGAGGAGAAAATAGCTTCTGATCTGGTCTGGAAAGTGAATCATTAGTATTTACTTTCTAAATTGCTATAAATCCCTAGTTGAGAAATTAATACCTTAATGGCAGCAAGGTGAACAAACTGAGTTTGATTTGTTACAGCGGAAGGGGAAACAACCATGCCTTTTAGCTTAGTAAATGTCCAAGAGGCCGGCTTCTTGACTGCAATATCAAACATCCAGCCTCGCCAGGAATCAGGTACATTGCACATCTTTAAGAATTCTTCTGGCTGTACAATGCTCCTACTTCTGCAAATTAAGATTGAAATAACATTAAGCTGACATCATGAAAATAATAATTGGAAGGCAGAAGAAACCAAATGGTGATACCTTTGCATTTCTTCAAGAACAGTAGGAAGACATTCAGGGATCCGACCATTTCGCATGAAATCTTTGTTTAATTCATCTAAACTGAAGGAAATGCGATTTTTTCTTTCGCTCCATTTTAATACCATTGCTGTCCAGAAAGAAAACTTTGAGTCCCATCCTTGTGGGTTGAGATCTCTGTCACGAAAAGGGGCAAATAAAGATGTCATGCGAGTTTCATCTTCCCATAATTCAGGGAACTCTTGGCTGTGAGTTGAAAGCGAAGCACCCTTCGTAGGAGTGGCCATCACGTATATTCAAAAACTGGAAATCAAAAGGAATATTAAGCGGACTTCTACATTAGGAAGAGGAAATGGCAAGGTGGATTAACAGACATTATTTGATGTGCACCTAGACAGGACAGTTTGAAGGATAATGGGAGTCATTACAAGAATAATGAAAAGAAATGCATAAACATTGCACACTCATGGTGCATATGGTACGTTATCCCATACCTACGTTTATCACGATTGTCATAAAAAGATGAGCAAAGCAATATCACACATCAGGCACTGTTAACCTCCAGAAGGTTCCCGTAGCTGTGGCAAACAATTTGAACACAGGTTTCGTTGCCTAAATTTAGACCACACAGGTTAGACGAGACAAACCAAAACAAAGCGCTGTAATGTTTTGCAGATTATGACAAATTCACCAAAGTGAAATTTTCATACTAGCAGGAATGGCGCGAGCAGCGCGAGGTGTCAAATGATGGCGCTCAAGCAATTTCAAGAAGCAATGGTTGATCTCTGATCTCTGATCATGATGCTAGCTTTAGTCTCGGGAAAATGTGGCCTAAAGCCAGCATCCCGTCATTTGTTTAATATTCGTTACTGAGACTTCAAATATGCTTTAACCATCGTGGGCAATTTTCACTGCAAATTGACACTGTCCTGGAGGTTTTGAGCATTTCTGGCTTCAGAAGACTACTTATATCGAAATGGGTAAGTGTTTTACTGTTTTGTCTTATAATGAGAAGCGTTATGGAAGTTGTACAAAAAAAATAGAGTAGAGATAACATTTTTATTTCAAAAAGTTTTACAAGTCTACGAAGTACAGTCACCTCGCGATAAGTGTCCGATGGCGGGACCGGCGCCAGACACATATCGAAGGGAGCAAAACGTTTAACACCTGTTGGGAGCGTCTGGCTCGGAGCCTCGCGAGTCCGAGGAGCTCATTGTTCGGTGCGTCGCTGGGGACCCGCCCGATCTGTATATGTCCCGCCGACGCTCGATAAGTGTCCGCTCTAAGTGTCCGCGTGCTACAGCACGTTCTCAGGTAAGCCACGGCAAGCAAGGTGCCCGTTGGCATTGTCGGCGCGCCTGGCCCAGTCCGATCCCAGGCTCGGGTCCAGCCATGGTCGAGCCAGGGCTCCACGCACTGGATGACCTGTCAATCACACCGGCTTAGGGGAGTGGCGAGTAAACTTGCAACATTTCTGAGCCGAGGGCCCGGACCTAAAACGTACACTTATCGAGCGGACACTTATCGCGAGGTGACTGTAAATTAGAACGGTTTGTTCGCGATGAACCTGCTGAGCAGGTCGAGCGCCCAGCGAGGCTGGTCAGCGGGCACCATGTGCCCGGCGTCCCTCACCAACACCTGCGTGAGCCTGCCGGCCTGCTTGGCGTAGCCGGCGAGCTCACCGCGCGTGACCCACTGGCGGCGCGGGGCGCGCGCGAACTCCTCGGCGCCGCTCCACTTGAGCTTGCTGAGGTAGCTGTCGGTGAGCGCGTAGGCGACGATGATGTCGAGCTGGCCGTTGTACAGCATGACGCGGTAGTGGTCCAGCAGCTCGGCCAGCCACGGCGCCACCGACTGCAGCATGTCCTCCCTCATGTGTGTCTCCACGATGGTGCTGCGGTCCCACGTCGCGTTGCCGACGTGCAGAGCGCGGCGCACCTCGGGGGTCTGGACCAGGCGAGTGCCGTCGCCGTGGTCCGGGTCCGCCGTGTACAGGAAATTGAAGTAGAAGTCGAAGCCCGTGAGGTTCTTGAAGAGCGTCGGGTAAGGCGTGAGGTCGCCGCCCAACATGAGGTCGTTCTCCATGAAGGCGTCCAGCCAGCGGCGCTCCTTGATGCGCTGCACGATGCGCTCCTCGCTCGCCCCGAGGGCCTCGCGTCCCGCCGCGTCCACGAGCCCGAGTTGGAACACCAGGTCACTGTAGTGCATCATGTTCTCGGGGTCTGTGAAGCCGTTACCGATAAAGAGACCCTGGAATAAAATGAGAATTGGGACGTCACTGGCCGATAAATCAGGACGGAGTTTCGTGGGACGTGCGTTTATTCGGGACCATGAACAGTGTTAAGACCGAGTTGAAGAACTTGAAGTGACCAAGGGCAACCCACCTGCAGGTTGATGCGGTCGGTGGCCGCGGCCGTCGGGTTGTTGCGGTGGATCGCGTAGCCCAGCGCGGGGACGTACTTGCCGGCGTAAGACTCGCCCGTGATGAAGAATGGGCGTCCGTGGAGCTGGGGGAACATCCGGAAGAACTGGACCATGGCGCTGTAGAGGTCCCGCCCCACCTGCGCGGAGCAATCGGGGTGAGTCAGACGAAACCGAGCAGTAAGCATGCAGCACCCAGGCGAGCGAAGCGCCTGGGAGGCAGGCAGGCCCGCAGCGCACTGGCGCGCTCCATCCGCTGGTCTGCCTACCTCCCAGGCGTCTGGAGGTAGCTAGCTAGTGCTGGGCTGAAGCACGGTTGGAACTGTCCAGTGCAATGCGGACGAGACCGTGATCGCCGGCCCGTACCTGTGTCTGGTTGCGCGCGTATCCCTGGTCCTGGCCGGTGAAGCTGTAGCCCGCGCCGACGGGATTGTCGATGTAGATCAGGTTGTACTGCTTGCTCCACGAGTACTTGCGCAGCTTCACCTTGCCACCCTCGCACGAGTAGGGGCCGTTCTCCGCGAACAGGCCGTACAGCGAGCTAGCCCCGGGCCCGCCCTGCAGCCACAGCACCACGGGGGCGTCGCTCGCGCCGTTCTCGGCGGGGAAGTACCAGAAGAACATGTTGGAGTCTAGTTCCTGCGCAAGTGAAAAGCGGGTCAGGGTGAAGTATATGGGGCGGAGAGGGAGAAGGGGGTACTAGACATGGCAGGGGGGGGGGGTTCAAATCCGGCCTGTACAAGCCTTACTTAGGAGCTTTACCTTGTTCACAGTGAGAAATCCCGAGTAACTCTTGACGTTCCCGGCGAGAGGCTTGACGGCGGCGGCGTGCTGCGCGCCGGACCAGTTGCCGCTCTCGATGAGGGGGGTGAGGAACAGTGGCGTGCCGGGGTCCACGTCGCCCTCCTCGGAGGTGCGGCCCCCGCTCACCTCCTGGAAGAGGCGGGGTGACGCCGCAGTCACCTTGTTATACGCGGACCCGTGCGCGCACCCCGCCAGGGCGGCGACGGCCAGCACGAACAAGGGCACCATCGCGAACAGCTGACGTCGCGTCGTCTGGGGACGCTCCGCTCCGCTTCGGAACCCAAACTGATCCGAGTTGTGGTGTCTGGGGTCCGTCCCTCCCTCTCCTCCCGAGCGCCCAACCTGATAGCAATCTGACCTTTTGACCCCTGGTCAACGCGACATGTAATGGACAGCGTTCGCACGCGTTCTTTCTGCCCCGTCCCGCCCGGGCCTCTGCCCCGTATGTCGTTGCTCCCCGAGAGGGTTACGCCAAAATCGGAGTCGGAAAATAACGCCAACTTTCGACAGCGTAATGCGGCAAGGAATTAGCTGTCGCCGCAGAGATGAGCGAGCGTTTTGCCCCGTTTCAGACCGACCGGGAAGACCGCGCAGCGGTAGCGGTTACAAACGCGATAGGCCGCCTTGCAGGGTGGGCGCGGAAGAGGGGCGCCTCCCGGTCTAGTAGTACTTTACTTTACGCTAACATCTCTCACTCTGCTCGGCTCTGCGTATTATCTCGGAGCACCCACTCACCACGTTATAGTATATCCAATTCCCTGCTCCTGATCATAGGCAAAAAAATTGAGAGGCTTAATTGTTTTATACATATTAATAAAGATTATGTTTATTATCGATGAATACTTTTTATTGTTATTGTCCGTTCTATCACATTTGAGCACAACCGCACTATGTCTGAGCATACAATTGACATATTGATTGATATCTGAAAAAAATTGCACTTTTTGAAAATGGAAATCATACAAGATTTTGTATTTACAGTCTTATTAAACCCTTTAGAATGTTCAGCAAATTGTTCACCAATGAGATGACATTTCTGGATGATGGCTAGAATAAAAATAACTTAAATTTCATAGAAATAAAATGCATACCATAGTAATCAAGGTGCTCTCTTCAAAATGAAAAAAAAATACATGATTTCCAAACAAGGTACATTTATACTACTGATAACAATAGATGAAATTATTACTTCAGTTAATAGAAAGCACAAATGATGATAACAAGAGTAGATTACTTTTGTTTGGTAAATCAGATTGAATTATTATTGCCCTGCACAAAGCCCAAACCCCCATACCATCATTCGGTAAATGGGCAACATTATAAGCAGTAGTTCCTATTGTGTGCAAACAGACTTTGTACTATTAATCAACAGTTACGGCGTCAATGACAAAGTTAACCATCAACAGAAAAAGTGATTTTTCAAATCCATACCATTTAAAACAATAGATAAATATTTATGGCACAATATAACAGGTTTCTTCATCTTCATTACATTCTCTGATGAGTGGGAATGGAATACACTCTCTTCTACCACATAGCAGCTGTTTTGGCGGCAAAAGTGCTGTCAAGGAAATAAAATCTCCTCTGAAACCTTGAGAGATAGCCCCAAATCATCAGTCTATAAAGCAAATACATATTCACTTGTAAGCTATGTTCATCATCTCATCTCACTCAACAGCTGGTAACAGTAATAATGGGTAGAAGTGATTAACAGCCACCAGGAATTAAATCAAGAGCTCATAAAATTTCCAACCACCATAAAAACTGTCATACACATGAAAATATTCCAATTTGCTTGGATACTGACAGTTGAGAAACAAAATATCACACTTAGACACTCATACACTAGACCTGAATTATTAAAATTAAATAGAGCACAAGCAGAGTGCATTAACACAAAATTCTACAAATCAAGCAACAATCTTAAAGGTAAACACAGCACAAAAAGTCTACAGACCAAACAAAGAATTAACTTTCCATTTTTAATTAATGGTAATTTTAACATCTAGGTATTTAAGAAGGCAACAATAGATAAAATTATGGGTCAACTGTTCAAAAGGAAAATTAAAAGCCATAAAAAAACATTATTAAGTTATGACAAATGCTAGGACAAATGACTGCAACACATATTTCACAGAGCCCACCTGTCCCATACAATTGATATGCAATGCATCTTACATATCTGAAGAAGAACAACAGCATTGAGATTTTGAAATGTTAACATAGTCAATAGAAGAAAAAAAAAAAAGACCTGGCATTCTAGAGAACAAAATTGGTTCTCAAAAATCAAAATAAAATAAAGAGAAAAAAATCATTATGTTTGTCTATTAAGACACAATACAATACCATATATCACAAGAGCAACATGGATTTATGCCAAGTTGCACTACAAAATCTACTGCAGTAATCTGAAAAAAATTCACAAAGTAGATAACAAATAAGATATGAAAATATTGCGCTGGCTTTTCTTACTTAAAGTGTTCCGGATAATTAAAAGGAACAATCAAAGGAGGGTATACTTGACATAAGAAAAACAATAAGTATATTTTATGATCAAGGATCATGAAAAAACAGATCATAAATTCCAGAGGGAAATATGAGAACAGATTTGTGGCATGTAAATAGTGTGTAACAGAACCTGATGCTTGAGGGTTTGTTTCCGTAGCTTCAATGTCTATCCTTCAATATTAACTGAATCAGCCATTCATCATGACAAATTTGAAAGGGAAATTCATTATTTTTATACCATCATTTTAAAAGTCCTAGATACAAGTAATTAAAAGGATACACCAGAACATATAATTACACTAGCTAGCACTTCTTTATGATTCGCCTTTTAACTGCTATGACTTATACACACTAGAGCTTCAAATACCGGCAAAATATATGCAATAATCACAACACCCTCCTCAAATGATCTCTCACAAATTCATTTGAAGCGAAACCTATTCCAACAGCAATGGGTCCCTTCACCCAATTCATACTTAAACCTTTAAAGAAACCACCTCTTATACCTTCCTCCCTGTAATAAGAACAGAAGAGACAAATTTGGAATGCAAAAAAATCATAATTCATGAATCAAAAGTAAAAAGTATTTCTGAAACTTACCGGTATATTTTACTCAATGAGCCAATTATGGTATCATAGTGCTCGCCAGTAACTGCAGCTGTTTGCATTCGTCTCCTTACAATATCAAGGGGATATGATCCTGTTTGGGCAATAGCACCAGCAATTGCACCACAGGCTAAGTTGATCAGTTGGCTGGGCTTTTCATCTCCAAGCCAAACTGGTCATGATAGATAGCATTAAAGGGTGCATTTACATAAGATTAGATAAAAATATAGATACTAGATAAATTCTTACCTCTATAGTGATGTTTGAGAGTATCATAGGTGAAAAAACTGAGTCCGGCATACGGTATAACTCCGAGAAGAGTTGGTAAATAACCGCGATAGAATGCTAAAATGCTTTCCTGTTGCCACATGACTCTAAAAACCTAGAAGAAAATGGTTTTGGTACAGGCAGGCATAAAAACCACATGCAAATAGTATTTGTTTAACATGTAATACACTTACAGATCTGAGAGAATTCAGCTCTCCTTTTGATGTCACAGCCATTCTTGCACGAGCTAAGTCTAATGGATATGTCAGGGACTGCGATGTAACACCTGCAAGTGAGCCGGCCAAAAATCTTTTGATGTGTGCATCCTCTGAGCTGTAACAAGCCAAAAGAGATTATTTTAAACCAGATAACAAATAGAGATTAAAATACTCAAATACATTAGCATAAGAAGTGTGTAATTTGAGTAATAAATTGACAACAAAAAAAAAAAACTTACTGGTCAATTGGAGAGGTAACATTTAAACCTAAAACTCTCTTCCATTGCTCGTGGGAAGTGAATTGAATTGCTCCATAAGGCACAATTCTTGCCATTGTAGCACTATTGCCTCTCCATAGCCCCACAATACCTTCTTTGTAAATTGTCTCCTGAAGGAACTTCACTACTCCCCTCACTGAGTAGGGCTCTCGATGAATCTAGGAAAGAGAAAATAGTTTGTTTTTTGCCCTTTCTTGAACAGATTAAGATATAAGCAGTTTGCACTATTCAAGTAGCACTCATTACCTGGAAATTAATTTTTGTTCTGTCTAAAGGAGCTATAGCAGTCTTGGCAATGGCACCCGCTACAGCCCCAGCTACAAGACCTGTCCATACTCTAGTTGTGTTAGATATCTAGTGGAAGGGGAATGAAAAATTAGAAAGATATTTAAGTATTTTAAAGTGTTGATGGAATAAAATGGAAAATATTAGCAAAATCCTCTCTACTTATTTGAACTACTGACCTCTGTCAACTTGATCTCTTGTGCGCCTGATGGCTCTTGTGGGCCTGATATATCTTCTGAAGGTTTGTCTCCCATAGTAGCAGTTCCATGGGAGGAAATGACTGACAAAGCTGAAGGAGATGGGGGCCTTCTCGCTACAGATGAACTGAATGGTGAAATGTTTGTTGAAGATGTGATGTTATGTGCAGGGATTGTGGTATAAGCTACGTCCACCATGTCTGCAGCTCACACTAACATCCTGCAAAAAAGCCAATATTACTTCAATAAAGGAAAAAAATCAGGATGATAAGGCATGCACATACAACAACTCCATGAAAATACTACAGACAACAACCAGTAGCTCCATATGTGTTGACACTGATGTGAAAGACTTTCTTAGAGGCTCTCTAGAGGATGGTAGTGGTGCGCGAGGGATCAAATGTTGGACCGACCAGCTCCGATCCGATAGCTAGATGCTGGCTAAGCTTACATCACGGTGTAAAGGGCACTCTCCTACGCAGGGTAGGCGAGGGAGCTTCAGTCTACAAGACTAAATGCAACCCGTATCTGGATTAAAAAGACAAGCGAAACACCTGCACGTGTTTTCGGACGAAGGTGGATCGTGCGATTGTATTGTGATCGTGTGAGTTGAGTTCAATATAACTCGGGTCGGCTAGCAAAACGCCAACACGTTCAGGTTCAGACGTATGTATACGTACAGTGTCTTTGAGCCAAGCTGTCTGCGGTCATCAGATTTTGGTTCAGGAATCCCTCTCTTCAAAGTGTTGATGCAGAATCACATGTCTCTCATGGACCAAGGCCGTAATTTGAAGGCACAGGGAACAGACAAACTTCCCTCGAATCGTGCACGGCCATAGAAACACTACTAAATTTGCACGCACACACACCCACTGTATGTGAAGGACTCGACGGACGACAACAACACACTCACACTACCGCACATCAACATATACATACACCAACACAAACGCGTTCAGGTAAGAACAGCCACCAACGCAACCGCAAGGGAACGTGTTACTAGGGTCGGTAAATAATATATACTTCACATGACTCGAACTAATAAGACGAAAGGTATCTGAAGCATGCTTCATAGGTTGAGCTAGTATAATTCAAGGGACATTTTGTAAATGTTTTAGTTTGCAAGAAAACTTTCTTGTTTGGCGACCTTGCCAAATCAGCTGCTTTGTTTTCTTCTCTACTCTGGGCAGGACATCGGGGCGAACGTAGCTTGAAATGTGCCATCCTGACTAAATCTGAATCTGAATTTGAAAGCAACTTCGTTGCTAGGCAACGGTAACGCCGTAACGCCGAGGAAGGGGGAAAAGGTGAATGGGGTGGAAGGGGTGCCCCCACTTTGTTCAGCTGGATTTACCCCCTCCTCTCCCTGCCTCCCCCCGCCTCCTCCACCCGCCGCCCGCGGCCCGCGGTGTCGGCAAGCGCGCGCTGTCCCTCTGCGAGTCAAACCGAAGGCTCAACTCGTTCAGTCTTCAGGCGACCCACCACGGGTGAGACCACTCGACGCGTCAGGAGCGCCCGTGTTTCGTGTGACAGTGATCTGTTCGTCCTGAGTTTCGCGACCTGTGCTCAGCGTGCGACTCAAGTGTATCGGGCCGACATCTCTGTGTCATTGTTCAATCGTGACCGGCTTGTCCGCGGCCCGGGGGGCCGACCGTCCTAACCCTGTTGAACACGTCTCCACCCACCACCGGTGTGAGCGCTCCAAGAGTCCGACCCTAATTTGGGGCCTTACAGTCGAACTAGTTATGTGAGCTGCCATTCCTCTGCTTTGCATCGTTCAAGGTGAGTTCTGGCTGTTTGGATGAGGCAGATAGTGCAACAGTCGCTGCATAGTTTGTCTAAGAATAAATCAAACACCACCGGTGCAATTAAAATAATTTTCTTTGTCTGAGACGTTTGAAATGTATGTCTGGTTGACGATGAAGCAAAGTGTCCATAGTATGGTTTGATCGCTATGTGCGCACTACCAGATTAATGAATAAATAAATTCTTGCACTAGGCTTTATGCCCTTACTTGTAAGAAAATACCATTTTATTTCCTTTAAAACTATTTTTGTGTTGTTTAATTGATTCCAGGGGCCAGAATGAATTATATTCTTAATTTATGCTTGCTACGGATCCTCCTCCCCGCCGTATTAACCACATGTAAGTAAACATTTTACTAAAATAAAATTCTAATCACCTCATGAAATGGTTTTTACTACTGTGCAGTACGCCAATATTTTTGATGTCTCTTGGCTCTGGATTTTGACCAACAGTGTAGAGGAGTGTTTCATTCCTGTTCTTTAATTTTGAAAATCACACTTGTCATGAATCAACAAATTTTCATTGAAGGCAGCTCGCAATGAGAATTTATATCCTTGTACAATTTTTTGTTTTGTGTTTTGGAGCTTTTGTTTCTGTAAACATGGGCTAAAATTGAGGGTATGGCAGAAAAATTTCAGTGCACCCTTGTCGCACTCATTAATCATTTTTTTTTTATTTATTTATTATTATTATTCTGCTGGTAGGGCAGTAGGGTAGTGTGGCGCATGGCGGAGGGGCTCGTGGTCGGTGTTGACCTGGCAGCAAGCTGGCAAGGTGACCACGCCCCCTTGAACCCCCGCCCCCGTCCCTCCCCTATACGTGGGGCGCGGTTTCCGCCGCTGTCCAGTCGGTGATGCGCGGAGAATCGGGGCCGAGGAGCCAGTTGGGAAAGGGGGAGGGGGGCGTCCGTAACCGGCGTCGCCAGGATAACGCGCTTGCTGGGAGTGCGCCCCGTCCCCCCTTTGCCAACAGACAGAACCCCCTTATCCGGAGAACGTGATTTAAGTACGCTCCCGCACACCTACCCCGGGCTGGGGTTCCCGCCGGCTCCGGACAAAGGGGACGGGAGGGGGAGAGGAGCAGGGTTGGGTTGGCGGTAGGGGAGGGGTTGGCGATAGGTTGACGGGGCAGGGGAGGCAGGGTGTTTCTGCTCAGCGCAGCGAGCCTATGCTTACTCGGACCCCTCCCCTCTGCACTCTCAACCTCCACCCCTAGTCTACCCCCTCCCTCCCTCCCTCCCTCCCTCCCCTCCCTACTCTCTCGTGTTTGAACCCCAGCTTGTCCAGCCCAAACACTCCCGACCTAGAACGGCGGATTTTTATCGCGTTTTGCTGTGCGAGCCTTGGAGGGAAGGCGGCTGGTGAGCCCCTCCGCTCCGACCTCCCGCGCCCTGCTCTGGACCGCGCCGAGCCCGCTCCGCTGGCTCCGCTGCTCCCCGGCCACCTGTTGGCCGCGCGTACCCTCCCCCGGCAGGCCTACCCCGCGGTCCACTCCGCACCCCCGCGGCACCGAATACCAAAGTGCGTGCGTTTCCCGCGCTGGACTAACCGCCTCGTCATGCTCCGCTGCAACTCACCCGCTTCAACCCCCCCGCTTCAACCCCCCCGCTTCAAACCCGCCGCCGCAAACCCCGTAACTGCCAAACCCCCTCACTGCAAAAACTCCCACTGCTAAACCCCTCACTGCAAACGCCCCATTGCAAAACCCCCATTGAAAACTCCTGGGGAAGAAAGTAAAAACGGGGTCATACTACCCTCCCCCCCCCCCTCCTCTTTTAAATGAAACTGCGCGGTTTTGCTCGCTAATTCAAATAAATATGCGCGGAGGTTATGTCGTCCCCGCTCCACCCCGTCTTTCTTATCCTCTTAGGCTAATGGCGGGGCGGGCCCCGCGGGGGCCTGGCGTGCCGCGGAGTGTTTGGACATTAGGAGGACGCGCAAACAGTCCGTGCGCCTCCGCTAGGCTCCGCCCGCCACGGCGTTTTCTCACCCCCGCGATCCTCTAAATGGCGGGCGCAGCAGGGGTGAGGGGGTGGGGGGCTTTCACCCCGTCAGCGCTCTACGACGACGCCCTGCGTGTGCATCTAGGCCGCCTGGACAGCGCGCGGGAGGCGGGCCAGCGCCCCCTCGGGGCCATATCGCCATGATATTGGGGGGAAAGCCGGGGCGCGAGCCACCCCCTCGCCGCCTCCTGGTCGTGCACTGGCCTCGGATGACATTTCCTGGAGGTTGGAAGGCCACCCCACAATGTGCATAGTAACGACAAACGAGCAGCGTGGCGCGGCGGGGAGGGTCTTCCCCCGTCAGGTGAAGGCCCCCGTCAGGGGCGGGACAGAGGGGCGGGACACCACCACAACTCCTGCACTTCAGTCACAAACGTGGAGAGTGAAACTGTCACTGAACGAAATAAAGTGACACTGGCTGGAATGCGTTTGCTTGGGTGATGGGTGTGGGCGTGATCGTGATTGTCTTATCAGAAAAGTGAATCACCTCGACGGGCTGTAGTGGCGGACGTATGTTGTGCTCCACTCCACAGCGCTGTGTGTTGTGACTCGGCGGAGAGGAAAACATTGGGACACTTCGCAAGTTGAAGTTCCAGCGGAGTTGGCCTGGGGCCTGGGCCCTGGGCCCGAGCGAGGGACCCGCAGTGCCGTCCTAGGAGTGGATGGCCCTACCTGCCTACCTGGTGCTTCCCCTCCGTCCCGCCCGGGCGCGCCCCTCGCCTCCCCTCGCCCTCCTCCCCCCCCATCCTCCTCCGCGCTCCTCGGTGGGGGGAGGGGGTGTGCCCGCGGGAAAACCGGGTCACATTTATAGGGCAGGGCGGAGCGGGCCGGAGCGGCGAAAAATGAAGAGTTGAGAAGGTCATCCGACGGGCGGCAGGAGGGCGGGACGGCGGGGCGCCCGGCCGCGGGCTGTTCACCCCGTTCACCCGCTGGAGTACCGACGAGGTGCAGGAGCCTTATGGCGCTTGCTATGCAGTCCTCGTTTGAAGTCGCTGCCCCCGGGGCGCTTCCCTTCGCCACGCCCGCGCCCTGGACTTCCCTCGCCCGGTGGGGCGCCGCCGGGTAACAGTGATTGACGATTTCTTTGATGAAAGTCTGTGCCAGATAGTGGACGGGGTGGGGCCGGGCCGAGCCGGGCCGAGCCGGGCTGCCATTGGGCGGGCGTAATTGCCTTCCCGCTGGAAGCGCCTATGGGAGGAGCCGTCGCAAACGCGCGGGAGTCACACTGTAAATCGGGGCGGCGCAGAAGACCCCCCTTGGGAGTGTCATCGCGTTTTTTGACACTCCACAATTTGATACAGTCCCGAAATGACACACGACAGAGGGCGGATCCATTCATTCTCGCTGTTGTAGTGTTTCGTCTAGTCCTCGGCTTTGTAGTGGCTCTGCGCTCTGCAGTATTGATGAGCAGGGTAACGGTAACGCCCACCCATGTCGGAAGCTGTCATCTTCTGATTGGTTGTCTAGATAGGCTGCTGGGACTAATGGGGGGGAAGGGTGGTTTAAGCAAACGTCAGGTGATAACATTCCAGGAGGAACAAACAGCCAAAGCGAAGTGTCAACGAGGTCGTATGATTTTCTTGAGGGAGCTTCTTTTTATTTTTTTGCATGAGAATGGTGATGAAAACTCATGATGGTGATAATGGTGATGTGACCTGCGTGAGCGTGGTCTGCTCGGACAGGAGAGGGGGGGGGGCTACTCCAGAGGGAGCCCCGCCCACCTGCCTGCAAGGACAGCGGAACCACCAACGGCACACAACCAGAGGGGCATAACTCGTTGCAGTGAATCAACCCCCCATCCCCTTCGCCCTCCTTCCCCCCGCCCGTTACGGCGACGCAGCAGGCATGTTTGCGAACCTCGCCGCTCCTCGCCATACGCTGCCGCTGCTCTTAGTCTAATTGTATAAAAAGAAAGAGACACGGGGGGCAAAAGGAGAGATGCGTGACTATGCGGGGATGGGGAGGGCGGTGGCTTCATCATAACGCGCGCTTCAGGTCTGCGGAGCCGCTCCAGAGAGCGTGCCCCCGCTGATGAACAAGGCTCGCATAAGGCCTGCTCGGGCTCGACACGAACTCGCCCGCACCCGCACCAGCACTGCGGCAGTGACGAGTGTGTGACACAGTCTGGCGGGGAGTGTAGGGGTGTCCGCACTCTGGAAACTCAAGTGTCGTACAGTATCACACTTATAAGTGCAGTACCATGGTGTCCTACAGTTGAAAGTGTAGGACCAAGGTGTACTGCAGTTAAAAGTGTAGTACACAATGTGTTCTTCAGTTATAACTGTGGGACAAGGGGTGTCCGACACTTGCGTTAGCTGGCACCTTGAGGTGTCGGACACCTCAAAACACTTAAAACTGTAGTACACATGGTGTCCTACACTTTTAACTGTCGGCCACATGGTGTCCTACACTTTTAACTGCAGTACACCTTGGTCCTACACTTATAACTGTAGGACACCATGGTACTGCACTTATAAGTGTGATACTGTACGACACTTGAGTTTCCAGAGCAGCGAGGTCCGCAGGGCAGGGCAACACTGCAGGGGCATGGCGCTGTGGTGGCCGCGCAGGTAAAAGGCCATGGGCCACGGCTTTGCGAATCGGGTCTCTGGGCGACTGACCGTTTGGTGTGCGCGACTGACTCTATGCCGCTGCTCTTTGCCCGCCCTGCTCCCTCCTGCGCCCACCGCCCTTGCGCTTGCCCCGTTCACCCTCCTCGCCCCTCGCTCCACCCGCGCCTGCTTGGGGGATGTTGACCCATTTCCGACCACGTGGAGGTGGGAAGAAGGGGCTGAACCGGGCTGATCAGTGTTGCTGTTGTTGAAATGCCACACAGGAAGACGCCCGAAAACGCATCGAAACAGCCAATACGCCCGGTAAAAAAAGACAAAAAAACGTTATCGTATTTCGAGAAGACGGACGGGAATAAAAAGTCCAAAGCGAATGCCTTTGTACAGACACGAAGGGGTCCAGAGGCATTACAATTTTGCGCCTTTGAGCAGCTTTAATGCATTTGTAGGGGGTGTTAATTTTTAATGCCTTTTGTAAAGGCCAATAAAACCCTTTGAGTTCTACCTTTTGTTTTACCAGTGAGGGGATCAGCTTCCCCATGGTGATGGTTGTATTTGCCATGACACATAGTTTTTACTGCAGAAAGTGGGGAAAAGGTTTAGTGTCCCCGCTAGTCTCTTCATCGCGTATAGTGATCGGCTCGGTGTAAGACGCACCGGCGGCCTCATTGTGCTCCGCTCGAGGGGTTGCTTGGCTTTGCCTCGCTTTGCTTCTCGGCTCGGGCCCGCTCGGGCCCCACAGGAGGGCGGCATTTCGCTCGCCGCGT